ACCCCAAGATGAGCTTTCTGAGTGAAAATCAGTGACTTTAATGCTCCTTTACTTCACCCTTTCATTTTCAGCCTGAAATACATTTTCGAAGCAGCTTCTCTTCAAAAGGCTCTACCTGACAACACATTACTACATCTGACTAAAGATGAACTCTAAAACTGTTATCTCTGTGTAAAACCTGGACATCATCCACATCTGTATTGATTACAGAGTATTTCTGATCTACTTCAATGTGTGACTTTTAACATGTAATTATGACTATAATTTTGTCTAAAAATTAAACCTAAGAGCTTCAATTAAAACAAGAACGACTGCTGTTCCCTGACGAGATACTCAGTACTCAGTCTGATCTGCACGACATAGGCATCCTCATATTCCCAAGTCGCACTTGGTCTCATGGTCTTCTAAACACCCAATCATCCCATCAATCATGGGTTTCCTTCACCTAAATCCTAAGGACTCAACCAGATATTAATAATTAGAAAGGGGTTTATAGTTAAGGATGAGCCGGGCTTCCTGGGGGACACAAGTTCACAGAGGGCATCTGTAGCAGACCACTCCTCTGGACTCAGGATTACTGGTACTGACCAGTTGTACATGGGGCATTGGAGATCATTTGTAGGCTTTAACAGTGTCTGTCTGTCTAAACCAGGGCTCATCCTTTTACACACCCACTGAGCTCACTGCTTTCTACAGTCTCACAAAGGATTCCTGTGCTTTTCGCCTCATTTCATTCCCTTACAGCAGGATTAGGGGCTGGGAGCACAAAAACCTGTGCTCAAAAGTGGCTGCGCACACAGACACATACACAATCACGCAGATACCATCTGGTTTTCATGTGTTCTTTCTAAAACCTTTCAACCTGCAGTAAATTGAACGTAAATAATATTTTATTTTAACTCAGACATGAAGGATGAAAACAAACTATTTACCCATTATTGTCATTTAAAAGCCAGTATAATACCCAAAATTTGTTTGGTTTGCCCATAAAGTTTATGAAAAATCCTTGTTTTGTTTTTTTTAACTGAAGGCTGTATGTTTTAAAACATCTCCATAAATGAATGTAAAATTATACAATTCAATAATGAAATGGCTTGTTACTGTATCTTTGAAGTCCCTTGTTTAATATGACATTTGGGTAAAAACTTTTCTTTACATTCGCTTTGTTCGCCCTACAATTATCCACTTACTCCACACTCTGACTCCACAGATTTGCACTAAAATATAATCTCTAGCACAGAAATGACCCAGACTGATTCCCAAAACAATCCAACACTGCTGTTTCCCCTCAGAGATATTTAGATGTGGGGATGTCTGTTCATTGTAAACACCTGCGTGCACACAGCCCTCCACTGAGAGCACATACTCACACACACTGTTCACACACAGCTATCAAGGAGGGTTTCAGCAGGGGAAGGTGTGCCCTGATGAAGACCTGGCCCTGATGAAGATGGCAGCTCTCAGACGAAGCAGGGAACCTTCAACCACAGATAACCTGGCTTTGGAGAAAGTGTTTGGCTAAAATTAGTGTTGCCAGAATGTTTACGATAAGAGAGCTCGAGACTTCACACTGCTTCACTTGCTCTCACTTTGCTCCTAGCTCCGTGTTTCAGTGCCTGGTGTAGGCCAAACCTGTGCACTTCTATTGTTTTGAGCCACATTATTCACCTGAATGTGCCAACAAACTAATAATTAAATTATTTAACATTCATTCAGCCCACAATTCTAAAAAATCCTGTTTGAGTTAAACTGGCGACAGGTGCTAAGACTAAAAGGCCAACATTTGGGACTTGACTGTCCACATTGATCCCATTTTGAAACACATGTAGACATCCAGTCTCCTTTGTTTTTTTAATCACTTTATCTGTGTGTTTGTGCCAGTGTGCACACACTGTCTGTACAGTACAGATGTGGGTGATT